ATTGAATTCACCACATCAATAATTTTACCGAGTGACATCCGCATGTTGATCCGACATGTCTGATCACGTCCTTCCTCAGCACAGGTGAGGTAATGTCTAACAAGCGATCTATTGCAGTATGCCTTGAATGTCCGAATTATTCCTGCATCCATCGGAGACGTGGCATTTGGTCACATTTCGAAAAGTTAGCGAAGCACACTTGTGACTTGCAGCATTGTTGTAAAGCAAAAAAATCACTTAAAGTCCACGTGACCGCATCTGTCTGTCAAAGTACATTAACCAATCACAAAACAGCTCACTTGTCATCCACGCCTTTGTATTGTGGTGTCAATCAAAGTGTAAATGTACAGCATCTTCAGTCGGGAGCTTTTACTGTCTAATTAAAACAACAACCCAGTTGGCCAGTTGATTAAGTAAACATCGCCGGGAGGTGTTGTTACGGTCCGTGAACACGACTTACAGCGTCCGGACTGTGAAGCAATTTACTGTATATTTTACTGATTGGTGACAGCTTCTTACCGTCCGGTTCCGGAAACCGAATTTCCGGATTATCGAGGCAAATTATATAGGCATAGATTGGTAACAAGCTGACATGGTCCGGGAGGCGAGACATCCGGATTATCGGAGTCCGGACTAACGGGGCTTCACTGTACATGTATACCACAAAACTTCATATGTATTCACCAAAATATTATTAAACACAAAACTTCTAACTTCTCTATATCTTAAGGAAATTTGTTTATGTCTTGACATGGGTAAAGAAAGGATTTGGCAAGTTTTCATTTATTGTCAATATGTTTCTTTTAATTAATTGATGCTTTTCATGAACAACTTTATCAATATCAAAGCTAATTAACTAAATTAGGAAACATGCATTATTGAGAGAAAAGGCTTTAACTATAAAACAATTGTTAAAGCCTATAAGACAATAGTTACTAATATGAGGGTAGTCTATTGGTTGAAAACTGCTATCAGTGACCTTATACAGCTTAAATAACCTATTATATGTTGTAAATGATCAAAAAACATAGTCACAAATAATCAAATAAATAAAGAACAACAGCAAAACTGCAAAACAGTCTCAAATTCAGAAGTGAAATAATCATGACAAAAACAGTTTGTGACATTAATATATTTGATGACATTCTTACTTCTAAAATTGCAATTTTTGGAAGTACAATGGGTAGAATTATTTTACATATTAACATTCAAATTTATTGATTTTATGGACTGATAATGACAGTCCAGCTCTCACACGATACTTGTTACTTAAACAGACAGATCTGTCATAAAGTCACATTTCACCATATAAACCACAACATAAACTTTCTATAATTTGATAATCAGTGATTTTTGTTTTTGCTCCAACTTGCATCAGATATCTTGCTTGGCCAGCATCAGTCTCACATAAATATCACCCATCTAATATATCTTCTCTAAATAAACTCTCTAATTCTTTAAGAGGAACCTTGTAATGGAATTACACTCAAGATGTATCACTTCACCTGTCACAATTCACAATTTATAGTATCACTTTCCCAAATGCATTTATCTAACCATGACATTTGTAGGGAAAGAATGGAATATGACAGACTATTTTATATCTGTAAAAATATCTTGTTCATTAGTTTCAGATGAAATAATTTTGATGAATTGCTTTTGTGAAAATGATATGCAAGTTAAGGTAAAATATATTAACATTTGTCTGTGATTCCTGTAAATAATCCAATTACCACTACAGAAAGGAAACATCATATCAGTTTTGAAAGATAGAGATATAGATTATGTCACAATTAATGCTTTCCATCACAGACATGGATGAAGTGATAACTCTCAGACATTCATTAAAAGAAAATTCCTTTTGCCAAATCCTTACAATAATCACAAACTTGAGTTTTATACATATCAATGTAGCGTACAAACCATATTTCACAGCAAAACAAACAACTGGTGTACTTACACTGTTCGATGTAAGTGTTTTCTGGAAGTGATTGAGTAGGCACCCAAGGAAATAGAATCCTTTCCACAGAAGAAATGCCAGTTGTTAGAGCTGTTGCCAGCATGCACATAACTCACTTGCGGAGGTGGTATACTCCCCCACTGGTTTTATACTGAAGAGAATTGATTAGAAAAAAGTATCTGTAGCTGTGAGTTTAATGTTAGAAATACCAGGACGATTATTCCACCTTCTGCAAACGACAACAGGTATTGTACAGGAAATTCCTTTGCATCAAGCTGTCAAAGAAATGTGTTTTCTGGTGATTGTAATTTTAATAGTTCAGTGTATTGAAGGCTGATACTGGGCCTCACTTTGCAAGTCTAATTCAGTGATTGATAGTATATTAACCTGAAAGCTGGTGTGTTATGGATTACATCTTGTTATTGTATTACATCATCATTTAGTATTGTAGTTAATGGTATATATCATTTTATATATTACAATAATTGGTATATAACGCTGACAGTTATAGGTATATATAGTGGTGTGTGGATGTTGCATTAGCATGGATTTGTTTGACTGGAATTTGTTAAGGTATCATATGAGTGGGGAATTGTATGATGTGCTTGTAAGCAGTGTATTCAGTACCCTGGATGTATTCCTTCATCATTGTACTTACTGTATTTATGCTCTATTTGAGGTATCATGTTTCTTGGACTGAGGTATCACATATGTTGTTGTGTGGAGGTATCATGTTTCTTGGACTGAGGTATGACATATGTTGTTGTGTGGAGGTATCATGTTTCTTGGACTGAGGTATCACATATGTTGTTGTGTGGAGTATCATGTTTCTTGGACTGAGGTATCACATGTTTTGTGTGGAGGTATCATGTTTCTTGGACTGAGGTATCACATATGTTGTTGTGTGGAGGTATCATCACATATGTTTCTTGGACTGAGGTATGACATATGTAATTGTGTGGAGGTATCATGTTTCTTGTGAGGTATCACATATGGACTGGAGGTATCACACTGAGGTATCACATATATTGTTGTTGTGTGGAGTATCATGTTTCTTGGACTGCGGTATCACATATGTTATTATGTGGAGGTATCATGTGGGAGAGTATCATGTTTCTGTTTCTTGGACTGAGGTATCACATATGTTATTATGTGGAGGTAACATGTTTCTTGGACTGAGGTATCACATATGTTGTTGTGTTGAGGTATCATGTTTCTTGGACTGAGGTATCACATATGTTATTGTGTGGAGGTATCATGTTTCCTGGACTGAGGTATCACACATGTTATTGTGTGCAGGTATCATGTTTCTTGGACTGAGGTATCACATATGTTGTTGTGTGGAGGTATCATGTTTCTTGGACTGGGGTATGACATATGTTATTGTGTGGAGGTATCATGTTTCTTGGACTGAGGTATCACATATGTTGTTGTGTGGAGGTATCATGTTTCTTGGACTGAGGTATGACATATGTTATTGTGTGGAGGTATCATGTTTCTTGGACTGAGGTATCACATATGTTATTGTGTGGAGGTATCATGTTTCTTGGACTGAGGTATCATGTTTCTTGGACTGAGGTATCACATATGTTATTGTGTGGAGGTATCATGTATCTTGGACTGCGTATCACATATATGTTATTGTGTGGAGGTATTAAATGTTGATGTGTTGAGGTCATCATATTAAATGTTGATGTGTTGAGGTCATCGTATCCCATCATATCGTCATCATATCCCAATTGTGTAGATCAATCATGTAGTATGATCAGTGGATTGTCTGGTCCAGATTCGATATTTACTGACCGCTACCATTTGTAGGAGGGATTATAGTATGTTATAGTATTTTAATATTGTTGTAGATTTAAGATAATGTATTAAGACCATTTCTGTTGGAAATATCAAATGTTGCTGTTTTCATGGTTCTCTCAGTTCCATTATGTCAGCTTTTATACAGAATGAAGGATGACTTAGATGAGTTATCTCCATAATGACATAAACGTTCATACAACCAAACTTTCCCAAACACTGAAGAAGCAAATGACAAAAAACAGTCCTGAGACTCTCTGGAGCATCAAGATGTTTGGATAATTGCAGCACTGTATATAATAAATCATAAACACTTCCAATTTTAACCCATACAGGTCATAAAAAGGTATTAAATCAAATATACTAGTATCACATATTTCTTCCAAAAGATTTTCAGTAATTTTGTTATATTCACAATGATGAATGAGTAAAGTTATGATTGTGTATAAACATGGTTCAATATTTACAGACAACATCAAACAAATCAAAGACGTTTGGTTTGGGGTCTTTCTTATGAACAATTCCAATGACCAGAACATTGGCAGTAACTTTGAATTATATTTTTTAAAAACAAAAGAGCTATCAGTTATGGACTAAGTCTACGGTGAGTGAGTTCCAGATAAGTGCTGTTTAGAATGTTACTGTTCCTGGGTGCCGTTGTACAAAACAACCTTAGCTCTAAGACTACCTTAAGTCTACGTTAATGAATGGGAGTTACGGTAACCTTAGCTCTAAGATCGCTTTGTACAACGGCACCCTGGCAGTTTACCAATTTGGTGAAACCCATGATCATGGCAATATTGCTGACAAACTTAGCACCATAATCAGGGTCAATCTGAAATATGAACCTGTGAGTATAGGTTCCTGGTATATCTAAGGGAGGGAACTCTGCACTCTAAACTGTTGCACCTTAGAAGACTGACCCATCTACCTCTTCTATCTATAAATAGCAAACTAAAATAATCACATTATACGACATCATTCCTTCTAAATTTGTCCAAAAATTTGCAACTTACAATAACAAAAATACTCATTTTTGCGTAAACCTTGTGTGTGCAGCTCTTTTACCTATTTATGTATTACAGCAACATTGGATACTCAGAAGCTTGGATGCCAAGGTCATTGTAAATAACCCCTGACGGATTGTGAACTCTATATTTGTTCACTCACATGCAAACCATTACAATACAACGCCAACTGTTTCAACCATGGTTTTGAGTTGAAGTTTACTCACATAAAAACTGGATTGATGAAAATAATTTCGCCTTTCTCTGTCAGTATGTTGAACCTGGCTGGCTTGGAATCAGAATGACAATCAATTGTGAAACTCTATCTGCTGACAATTCTCACAGGCATCCCTCTTCAGATTAACACACTCTATGTGCCATATCCATGAGCATATTTCACTGATGTACCTGTCCCACACAGATCGCCATCTCAGTTCCACCATTCCTCATCCAGGGACATTTCACATCCCAAAACTCAAAGCCAGGAAGGTGGATGGAACCTAAAGAGGCATACAAACAGTAACACACGCACAGTCGCAGAGGCAAGGCAAAAGACCTCATGAAATGTACACAATTTCACTGAAATGTGTTCCATTTCTGATTGACATATCACATTGTGCTGATTTGCATCACGATCACTTGTTGCACATGCAATCAATAGTGTGTTTACATATGTCGCAAATGATTTACGACTTCATCGACAGCTTATTGTTTGTGGTACCAACACGAGCGAGCACAGTCTGAGAAGTGGGAAATGGTCAATATCGGTATGACGAATATTGGAGGGTTTGCTATTGTGGTGCCTAATATCGCCATTCTAATCTATAGCCACAGATGTTTGTCTTGGATGCCAATGAATCAGAGTAGTATAACCCTTGCCTATTACTGATAGAAGCGACACCAATTAGATGAAGTCATAAGGAGACAGTTTAATCAGATAGAATGTACGTGAAGAGCAGCATGACTTGTTAAATTGTGTTTATTCTAGCAGGCCATCAACCAGAAATCTGAAGTGACACATCTTTTTCAGTAAAAATTGAGAAAAATGTCAACTCAGGATTTTTAAGAGAAAGTGTGGGAATATCAATTTTTATGTCAATTTGGGTAGAGAACATGGCAAATAGGTGTTATTAGCAATTCAGTTCAACTTTTCAACTCATCTTCAAATCATTACAGATGATAGAAGGAACATCATCAGATCGTTTTCCATTATTATTGATTGGAAAGGAATTTAGCATGGCTTAGCAAGTGAAAAGTGAACAAACAAACTTCAAATGTTCTTCAAAGTTTCACAGTGACTGTTCCATATGAACAATATTAATGTCAGTGCTTCAAACTTTCTCTTCACTTTAGAGAATAAGTTGGGATTAACTGTTGATATACTTGAATCTAGTAGCATTGTCAGGCACATGATTTAAGATTGTACTGATGCAGGTACAATGTCATCATACTCTGATTCACGAAAAAGAAAGTGACTTGATTGTTCAGAACCAACTTGACTGATACATATGGCATGTTTTCTGCACATTTGGATTCTGAAATATTAGTGAGTTTAATTCATAAATACAAAATCCCTTGATGCTATGTTTTACAAATTTAGATATAGAGACTACTTTTTAGAAACTGATTCAACAACAAGATAAAATTTGTTTGAATATTAAAAGTTTAAACAATTCACAGTAACAATTACCGAGCAATAGTTGTCAGAGTTAGGTTTAGATGTGTTTAATAAAGCTCTTTTGACATTCAAACAGTTTGTGAGTGAGCATGAGTTTTATGCCACTTTGTGCACCAGGGCAATATCTCAAGGAATGACACCAGAAATGGGATTCTTAGAGTTACATTAAAAAGACCGTAGGCAAAATACATCATTTTTACACATGATCATGTCGATAAAACATATGTACATTGAACACCATTAAGATGAACTTTACAACCTGTTTCACAATACGGAGCCATCACAAATGAGTGATAACAGATACATGTTGGGGTCTTATGAGAAAATAGTCATAAACAGGACACACAAACAAGAAGTGATTGTGTCTTTTACATTTAGAAAACATTCCACACATATTTTTTGTTTGACTGCTGTTATTAACCATACCACCAGGAAGTTTGAAAATACTGGATTCTGATTGGGCAGTCTGAAGTTTCTTATCATGATAATCACCCTGATTTGATGAAGAGAAGTGATCTAAAAACTGCATCAGCATCATAGAGGCTAACATTTATCAAATCTACAGATAATCTAGTTCTCCATTGCAAACACACTATGTTTATCTATTGATTCTGAAACTGAAACTGTTATGAAGATGCTTAAATGTTTTGCAAAGATACTACTTCAAGAAACTAACTTTTTGTTTGACAGATATCTTTCTGCTTCCACTAATGACCTGAGCAGACATGTTCATGTCTGGAAAAAGATGCAGTCACTACATTATAGTAAAGAAAAAGACATGATTGTAAGGTATTTCAGTTCAGTTGCATTAATCCACAATTTAGATATTGCCCTAAATCCTGATTCAGATTAATTACACACCTTGACTTTTAGTAGATACTGGCAGCCATGATGTAAAATGTGTCTGGACTCTAAATACTTCTAAAATGTCATGTGCTTGTCCTGTATTGGTGTTGGATCAGACTTGAAAGTGATCACTACATTTTTCCACTAGCGTGCCAGTCACTCTGCAGAAATTTGTACAACTATTCAGGTTCTAAAGCAAATATACGCTACAGATTCATGTTTAACAGCAGAGAATTTCACCCTGGTGCACTGGCATTAGGTGTCTTAAAAAATAAGCGTTTAAGTAGATATAAGAGAAAGGGAAACTGGAATAATATAGATGGGAATCAATAACAGAGTACTGCTCTCCCACAAGTCAACAAGTCTGTCTAACTGATACATCAAGCTCAGGAAAAGATGTCATCTAATTTACACGAGGAAAGAAATACACACTGTTGGTAATTACTGTAAACCAGGACAGTTGGAAACTGTTAACATATTGTTGCCTCTTGAGAATAATAAAACACAACGTCTACTCAGCTGGAGTTTTTCTGAATATCGATGTCAGAATTCTGGCTCTTGATTTGACTATAGAGTTTACAATTGAGTATAGATACATGAATTTGGGATAAAGTGAGTCACTTGGTGGGCGAGACTGTGAGCTGTGTTCAAGGACACTTTCAACAGTATTTCAGTCAAATGTTGGTGAATATCACAGCAGCAGAATTGAATGAGAATACGACAGAATCTGATACAGGAGTCAAATTCAGGTCATCATAGGTGGGAACACGCAAGATGAATTTAAAATTCATGTGTGTGGTTCATAAAATGAAGCTTACATTTGAAGTATCTGCACTTTTGGAGAATGTAAGAGTATGGTCAATATTCAAATGTCGCCATTTAAAGGATAAGAAACAGAACAAGTGCGGTTACACACACCTCTGAATATACATACACCATGTGACATTACATTTTCAAAAGAAAAGTAAAGGCCATAGGAAGTTTCAGCTTTCAGTATCATGGTTGTGCAAAGGTCAAATCAAGTTCAAGATTTATAAATTTGGAAAAGGTGCAAAATATGTTGAATCCCACTTGTACCTTTTTCTCATTCCATATTTTTTAGATGGGGCACATTAATGGTCATAAATGGCTTATTGAGTGTGGCAGCCATGGTGAATTCCTGAACAGACTGAGGCATTGTCAGTTTTGGAGCAAAGGTGACATTTCATCAGTCCAGTCTTCTTAGAAGGTGTTTTTGACAGAACATGATAGAAAACTCACATTGCACAACTGATCCCAGACAAACCGGCTTGATAAGATCATGTGGCTCTCAGGGACGTGGGCTAAAGATAGATAGTGTTATGAAAAACGACATGGGCAAATACATGCTTACTGGTCAAAGGAAGGATGAAAGCAGACGTGAACAGATGGATATTATTGTAATGTTGTATATGCACTGACAGTTTGGTTAAAATCCATCTGTAGTCTGGCTGGAGATAGTCTGTTGATAAGTCTTTCACAAACTGACGAAAACAAATGTCACAGCATCATCCAAGGCTTAAGTGTCACTTTTCTCAGATGCTGAACTTTCTTAATTGCAATCAAATGAGTCATACAGTTAGTTAAGATGAAGAAGATGTCACATGATGAGAGTGTTTTCACTCTTGACTTTATGTTGCTTCTCACAAAAACCAAACAGTTGACATTTACACACCGAATACATGTGATCTTCTTCAAACCGATGTCTATCATTTTCTGTATAAATTCATGGTTCAATACATCATAAAAAACGTTAATTATAGGAGCCTGTGTTGATAACATAAAAATCTGGTCTTTTTGTGTTCCTGTACTAGTAAATTCACTTTCATATTCATTTTTTCATTTGCATGAATAGGGTTTCTACAGAGATTATGTTTGTAGAGTAAAAATGAACAATCATTTTCTCCATTTAAAGTAAAAGGGTTGTATATTTAGAGATACACAGTGGTCTGTAGAAATGACATTCTTCACAGTCTGACCAGACCAATTGTATTACTTGTTTTACAGATCTGCCGGTCTTATTTTTTTAAGAATAAGAAAAAAAAAATATCCCTGCTCCAAAAAATGTTTTTATTGACCAACAATGTAAACTTACAAGAATTTTTTTTTTTTTTTTTTAAATTGTTTTTGCCCCATATACACCTCATAAATTGCCAGAAGTAAAATACTTTTAACATTTAGAAGGAATATTACTTTGACAGGTGATTTTTCTTTTTTTTCCCTCCTGTCTTTAGGCTTGCTGAGGACAAAACTACATAAGAAAAGAAAAATATAATTGGTCTGGTGTAAATATAATTGGTCTGGCGTAATGAATTAAAACAGCATTCCATTTACTCCTGACTTGCAGACAAGTGATATGATAGAGACAGAGCTCTCACAGAAGTCTAAGGAAGAGAGTAAGTGGTAGTGCTTACCTAGGAGATCAGTTTTAAGTCAGTTTAACACAACAAGGTTAAAGTATCAACTGAGGCTGAAATCCTCCACAATCCAGTTAATGGAAGCCGAGTCTGTATAACATGGTGTGACCACATACAATGTCACCTGGTGATGCTATATGATGAAATAAGACCACCCCTAATTCAATCAGTGAACACATTTAGCTGCACCATCAACCACAGGATTGGTTAGTAGCATCTCTCAGATCAGGTGATATAACCTATAACCCAGATCAGCAATTACATGTAATGTCAGCTCACAAGCACAATGATAATCAAGGTAAATTTCATCATCAACAATCTTGTACTTATAGATGTGCTCGACATGAAGCATGAATGTTTGGTAGGGCTATGTGTGTGGCATCAACTATAGTTGGCTGTTTGTTTTGTTAAAATATTCCCGCTATATGCCAGCAGTCTGTAAATAATCAAATCTGGACCAGACAATCCAGTGATCAACAGCATGAGCATTGATAAATTTGGAATACAATGCCATGTGTCAAGCAAGTCAGTGAGCCTGACCACCTAATCATGTCAGTCGCCGCTTATGACAAGCATGGGTTGCTGAAGACCAATTCTAAAAGGGTAGAAGCACAGCAGCATTCTTCACCTGGAGGTACTGTTATATGTACGGTATGTGTTTGCTTCTGACACCTGCAGGTACTGGTGTATAATTAT